AATGTTTAAATCAACGTTTATATATACCGTAAGAAGTATTATATATTTCAATCAATGTTTATATACCGTAAGAAGTATTATATATTTCGATCAATGTTTGACTATTCCATTAGAAGTAGTATATATTTTAAACAATGTTTATCTATGTGTAGGAAGTCTTACAAATTATACATGGAAGTATTTTTGTCTAGTTTGGCGCGCCATAAAAAACAGAGCATCATATTCATTTGATTGGGTTTATGTGTAAGAGGCGCTAATATGAACCCCAATTAAACATAATCCCCAACGCACTGACGTTCAAAATAAATTTTGATTCATTTCCAAATTAATCCTAAGCACCTTCCGGGTCAGACATATATGCCCTTCCCTCGCAGATGCTATAACTAAGCACCTTCCGGGTTGTAGGCATGGAAATACCATGGCTATTTCCCCTCACAGATGCGTAACTATCCTAAGCACCTTCCGGGCAAAGCATGAGAGCTCCTAGCATGCTTTTCCCTCGCAGATGCTATAACTAAGCTTTTAATTTTTAGCTCATCAAAACCAAACAATAATTTACAGATACCGCTTTTCCCATTGAGATGGGTTGGCCTGTCATTTATTGCTAGCCAAACCTAATGCTAATGCCACCCAGGCATAAGAGATGATGATGAAACCAAATAGTACTTTTTTGCCTAAGGGTATGGCGTAATTATGGCTTTCCCAGTTTTCCCTTTAAGCCTGGATCATACGAGCAATGCAAAGCAGCATACGCAGACTCAGTACTGCAGTTTTCACTGAGGTGAGAGAAAAACAAGTACTGGCAATGGGCAGAACACTACTGAATCTACGTATGTTATCTGGGTTTGCATTTGTTTTTGGTTGCTTGTGTGAACCAGGCTTAAGATGATGTCCCCTAAGTACAACAGTACTTACCTTTAGTTAAAGTCTTTAATACATTGAGCTGGAAAAATGATATTGAAAATTGACATTGATAAGATATGAGAAATAATAAATTGAAACAGAATGTTAATATAATCGTGTTTAAGATATATTGACAAATGAAAACCCAAACACAATGACTATCTCTATGGCATTCAAGGCTGTTTCGTCAATAACGAAATATGACAAATTACGGTTTCAGAACTTTATTCTCTTCTTACGTACATGAAGCTAAAAGAAAGAAGCTAGTTGCAAGTTGGATATGCGAGTTGTTCGAAATCTAAAAAAAGCGAAGCAAAAATAAAGCGTTACTCATATCTAGAAAAACATATTCAAAGTTGAAGCGATCTGACTTACTCGGTAGCTTGCTCTGAAACTCGACGAACTGAATTTAAATTAGCGTCACTTACTTATATACTAATGCAACTTAATCCGAGGCAAGCTACTCGTGCGTGCGTGCAAAAAGGAATCTATTACTGAATTCTATCATGCTTTTCGCACATAACGAAACAAAGGCTATCAACATGGATTATTTCTTTTCTTTTTTCCGTTCTTTTTTCTTTTTCTTTCATATTTGGTTCATTGAGTTGTTGTTGTTTGGATTTATTTGAAAAAGAAAAAAAATGCAGGAACAGACCTCACATTTTCTCCCTTTCTTCTTCATTTTGCCTTCTCCTGATCCTCCGCCTCCTCTTTCTTTCTTGTTTTTTTATTTGTCACCAGCTTTTCTTCTAAAAAAAGAGTATGCCCTCATGATAGATATAGAACTTTTGCTGAATTTCATGGGTTGGATTTGTAGTAGATTATTAAAGGGTTTTTGTTTCAGAYCAAGATGCCAAACTTCACATAACCTAACGCAAATGAATCCAAACAATGGTTTGAACTGGAATTCCTAGTGATGTGTATGAATGAAAGAAATGGTTTTGTCTTATATAGGCTGACTGTATATCAAAATTCCTTATGTACAGCATCTCRTATAGTATAGAAACAGTCTAATTTACTGGTGCACTTACCTAAGGTTTGCAATGCAAGTATGCCAATTATATACATTTCGGTGGGTAATCTAACGCAGCAGTATCGGCATTTTTTATTTAACCAATTACATTACRTGCATAAAATTTATACTTTCAACTAACCATTGTCAATTACTAATGTTGAGTCATTTCCATGAGCATTTAGTGGTGCACTTGCACCAAAAACAACCTATAATAAACAGATAAACACAAAAAAAGAGCTATAAAACTCATATGCCTTTTCAGTCTTCACAATGATACACAGTGCAGTTATAGTGACTACAGCTTGCATGGTAGACACATTTCCTATGGTGTTAGCCTCAACTGCATGCAATAAATTCATAATTAATAGAAAATTCAAAGTATTTATATCATTCTAGTTTAACAATGTTTGCTTTCCGTTGACATTTGTAAACATTCTAGTGCAATTGAGGCTAACACTGTGCAAATATATCAGCAGTAAAGCATTTTAGTGGTATTAATAGTTGGACTACAAAAAGGTCTATTCCATTTTACCTACAATTGTATAATGTACATGTCCAGCGTAATGCACTTACTGTAGTTTCCATAAACTAGGTGATGGGCAATTTCAGACCATATTTCACTGAGTTGACGAATTTATTTCCTTTACATGCGAATTATCCATACATTTCAAMTTCTACTGCATGAATTACACTAAATCCACATGAATCCCAATTCAAAGGCAAGAAATAAAGCTTGTTGTTGCTGCTTCAGTGAGTCTTCTAAAGAACTCAAACTAATGTGGACTCAAACAATGTTCACAACTGTGTGTTGTGTGCCCTTGAGGTCAGTAAAATTACTGGCACGCGCGGGCACGTGGCAATCACGTGCTCTACCGGAAGTAGGCCGCTACACTTACATACATGTAAACTTACTTACCTCATCATCTGAATCTTGTAATAATTGCTGAATAACAATGGAATAAAATATGATTAAACCAGTTTTTTAAATTGTTATTCAATCATGAATTTTAACAAGTTGCTAGTTGACAATAAATTTAAACGAATAAATAAAATGAAATAAAATAATTTAATTAATTAAATTTAAATGTATAAATTTAAATTTGAATAAATCAAACAATAATATACAATATCAAAAATAAAATCATCCTGAAAACCTCGTATGCAACTTACATGGTATTTGCTGTCACGTGGCTACTGTTGCTGTTGCTGTTGGAGGCGCTCTTGGTGTAGTTGCTGTGGTGTGTGTTGCATGGATGACTTTGGTGAAGAAAAAGTACAATTAATATACACAAGATGAATGGAGGTACTGTAAAACAGAAACAGTAAAACAAAAAATGTGGCATCATCATTAATTACTTAAATATTTTGAAAACTGCTGGCTATTGCTAAAATAAAAAAAAAAGCAAATGGTATGAATTTGCATATTTTGATTCTGATTCAGTAATCTTAATTCGATAAAACTGGTTTCTTACCTTAACATCAGCTTGTAAACTGTAATGTCTTTTTCGCAGATGTCAATACCACTAAAAAGTTCTTCCACTGTAATAATAAAATCATGTTGAGATTACATAACATACTAATGTACAGCTACACTAAATCTTTAAAATGTGGATAGACGATGGGTGGTGCACTGTGCTAAAACATTGCCATTCACTCCATAAACATTACAATGCAGGTTGAGCTAGAGTTGTATGTATAGAATATTTGATTTCCAATAAGGAACATGTATGGAGGATATTAACATGGCCCAACAAGATTCTAACTTTAAAGCCTACTGTGCGCAATAATTAAAAATAATCATTGTTAGTTATTTGTTATTTTACCAGGCTCTTCTTCACCGCTGCGAAACTTTCCAACTGTAAATAGAAAAACGCTAAATTAATTCAATGGAGTAAATTCAATTTATTGCATGAAATTTAAATGATTATATAAAAAAGGGCCTGTAAAAAATAAATAAATAAAATAAAGAATGAAATAAAATTTACTTACCTATGATTCAACCACCTTCATGGAATGAAGTATCAACCATTGCTATATAATAAAAAAAAAATATATATATATATATATATAAATCAACATAATAATAATAATAACCTTATTTAAGCTGTTAAGACCAGTCAGTCAAACAATTGAAAGACTGGTATTAATCGGTGACCAGTATATAATATATAAGTGAATATATATACATTACATAGACACTTTTGTATATGTACACATAGACACTTGTACATGTATATACAATATAGTCAACAGTGAGTCTCAGGCTGACCTTCCATATACACATACACCATATCCACATAGACAATTTTGTATGTGTACGCATAGATATATATATATGATTATTGTTATTGTTTTTTAGCAGCAGCAGCATCTCCATCCCACACACAGAAAACCAAGAATCACACACCATGTACGTTGCATACAAAAGTGTAATAAGTGTACAAATGCAGTCGTTATTTTCTGTTATGTTTTGCTCATTTATCATTCCTAAGTCTTGTGAGATTTTTAACAAATCAAAGTGTCTGTGTTCTTATCAAACATAGAATGTCAGCAAACAATCCAAACTCAAGTGGAACCACGAAGTAGCATGAAATGTACAGTGTGAAATGTACTCCTGCTTGTATGTTTTGAATGTGAATCATCCATCCATGCATCCATGCATCAATTCATCCATCCATCTTTCCGTCCAACCATCCATTCATCCACCTATTTATTGAATATATTTTTCAGCAACATCAGCATCAGCATCGGCATCAACACCAAAGCTTTTCATAAAGCACAACCATGTAAGTTGCGTGGAAAACTGTTTAATGTGTTCAAGATGATATTTGGTTTCATATATAATCATGATGTTATTTATTTTTAATTTTTCTTTATGTGTTCAATAACTATCAATGTATTCTCACATGCACAGGACTAGCTGTTACATTATGTAATGTTTAGAAAACTCATTAATAATTCATGAAGAATTACAACACAATAGAAATCATGACCATGAAGGTGATTTTATATCGGATAAAGATTCGTCTTCATTTGCATAAACTTTAACTTGGATTCTCTCTATCCAACTTGGTTCAATTCGTAAAGAATTCGGTACAATATGAGAACATACATCTGGAGTTTTCTAAGCCGTTTAATAAACGAGCAGATCGTGTTTTATCGGGTCTAAAACCACTCGGCTACGCCTCGTGTTTTATACCCGATAAAACACTCCTGCTCGTTTATTAAACAGTACTTAAAACACTCATTAATAATTCGTGGGCTTATGGTCCAATTGGAGCCACCATACACGTCACGTGCATGAACCTTTATACCCGAGAAAGTTCTCTTCATTAGCATTCAAATGATTTTATATAAAGACACATGTATCTTTATATAAAGACACATGTGATCTTTATATAAAGACCACTCGAATACTATGAGGATGACTTCATCAGGGATGAAGTATGCATCCAAGTTTAGATGAAGACATAAAGCTTCATCAAGGTCATAGTCAACCCTAATGATCTTTGACTAACGTGCCTGTCTTTGCCTTAGCACGCAATATCCGTGTGGGAGCTTCTATTGAATCTGGTTGCGCATGCCCGTGACGTCAAATCTCTATCGAAGTATAAAAATCCATGCTCGTGACGTGTATGGTGGCTCCAGTTGAACCAAAATCTTATAAATTGTTCATGAGTGTTTTAAGCAGTTCTAAAAAAATCGTAGATCGTGTTTTATCGGGTCTAAAACCACTCGGCTGCGCCTCGTGTTTTATACCCGATAAAACACTCCTGCTCGTTTATTAAACATTACATATACAAAAGTGTCTATGTGAATATGGTGTAAATGTGTATATCGTAGGTCAGCGCGAGACTCACTGAAGACTATAGTGTATATGTACGAGTGTCTATGCGTACATATACAAAAGTATCTATGTGTATATGGTGTATATGTGTATATGGAAGGTCAGCCCGGGACTCACTGTTAACTATAGTGTATATGTACCAGTGTCTATGAGTACATATACAAAAGTGTCTATGTGTATACCGGTATATGGTGTATATGTGTATATTATATGGTGTATATGTGTATATATATATATACATACGTACATATCAACGACAGGTATAAATTAAGAGGGATGAATACATATACATACGTATACATGGAACATGTGTATAGGTGTATATATACAGACGTACATAGTAAGATTCAGGACAGGGATATACTGAGATAGAGCCAAAATATTGATCCCATAAGCTTGGCTCTCATGCCACGATTAAAACGTGTCCTTACCTTGAATAATCGAGAGTATTTTTGCCCACAATAAAGAAAAAGAGCAAGAACTGATAGTTTTTAACACTGTTTCGCCGTCACTCGATAAAAATTTACAAAGAATGTATGGGACTTGGTAACCGCGCCTTCTAGTCTTTTGCCTACTCGTCAAAATGGCGGCCAAAACCATCATTAAATCTATTCGCTTCTGGAAGAGATAGTAGGCAATAAATTGAAATTGTCTGGTCCGTTGATCGACTTGTTTCTCAGGGAAATTGGAAAGGGATTAAGACCAAAGCTTAGCAGATCAAAGGCGACTGGCTTAGTGAATGTGAATACATATTTTCCCGGGCATATTTTATACTATGGCCTATATTTCGTCACATATTAACGCTGTCTAGGGGTTACTAATGTGATGTGACATCATCTCAGAATGGTGTGAATCATAAAATCGGCGTGTCTAGAATACGGGTAACGGGTAACGGGTAACGGGTAACCAAATAAAAAAGAATAAAGTGAAAAAACTGACTTGATGTTTATCTAAACGGCAAACGCTGAGAAGTTTAGATGTCAAGAAAACATAACGCTTCAAGTCAAAATATTAGCAATTCATACTAATTTCGATGTTCTCTTTTGTTGTCGATGTTAAGAATAAATGATACTGGATAAATGATACTGGACTTCGCAGAATTACAATTAAAAGAAAATAGGTTATTTTTATCACCACTAAATTCCATATATTTTATGTGTAGCTACAACAAGGGGTCGTGTTTGGAGGTGTCCAATTGCTTAACACCCACAGGTGGTCCGAACATCACAAGCGTAACATTCCTTGAGGTGTTTGTTTACTGACCGATCGGTCAAGAAGAAAACTGCTTTGTTAACTTTAAACCATCTTGCTACGCAGTCTAACTTTGCCTTATTTCTGGGGCACGACAGCGACAACTTATTGAATCTTAGGCGAGTTAAATTTTTCTAGAGGAAACACGGTCATAAACCTGGGAGTTTTCTGGTTTTCATTATCATTGTTGTTTTATATTATATTAATATTTTCATGGTTATTTATTATATGATCTATTGATTTATATATTTTACCCGTTACCCGTTACCCGCTACCAGTTACCCGTTACCCGCATTTTAGATACACCGATCATAAAATCGTTATGACGAAAATGAAATCACTTTCAAGACTGTCTTCAACGTCAAGATTTTCAGGTGAAAATTATGTATCATACAGGCATTTCAAAAAGGTTCCATCTGGTGTTGGAAAGAGTCAGTGTTTGATGGACCCCGCTAGACACCTTTCACTATACAGTATACTATTCAATGGCCACAGAAAAAGTGACAGTTTCATATTATGTCCAACCAAGAGAAAATGAACATATTCGCTTGGTCCAACGATACACATCTGATCACCTACCTATTGATACAAGCCTTCAAACATTAATGAACACAGATAAAGAATAACTTGTACAAAAAAAGATATTGCATTTTATAATGCTACATCAACACATGTAAAACCTTGATGGGCACTCAAACAAAATATCCAGCAGAATCAAATAATAGGAAAATCTTGGACAAAAATTTGGGATTTTGTTCTTCTTGCTTCGCTCTTACTTCTATCATTTGCTCTCCAATACCAAATGCGGTCTACTAGGACCAGCAAAGGGAGTAAAGGGAGTGGATTGAACAACAGTTAAATGTAAGTATATCATTCCATTTTTCATAATAGAAAGCTATAGAAGCAAATAGATAAGAGAAGCACTTACTGGAGGAGTTGTTCAGAATTTGGTTTGGGATCACTTGTTATTGTTGTTATGGTTAGGGTGATACACTACAAGTGTTTTTGATCTTTCTAGTTTTCCTCAACAGAGAGTTTGTAAATTCTGTTTGAAAGTTTAATAAAAAAATATTAACTTTGTGTGGTTGTGTGTGAAATAGTATAATTCATTTTACTGGGATATATATCATGGAAAAAGATTCATGTTAAATGAAAACAATAATGTTACCAAGAATGTTTTTATTGAAGATTGGGGGGGAAAAAATCTTTATAACAAAAAGTGTTTTTGGAAAATAATATTCTTACTCTTATTGAAAAACATTCCTAGTAATAGTTCTGATCTGAATGATTTTTTTTTTCTTTTTTTTTTCTTTTTTCTTTTTTTGAATTGAATTAGTGGTTATATTATTTCACTTGCGAAATAATCTTTTTCAAATTTTGTGTAAATTAAAGCTCAAACACTTTTAAAAAGCTACTTTAAAGTTCACTGGCTAACCTTCCCTCTAATCTGGTCACAAGAATGGACTTGTTTCCAGTTGTGCTTATAGCCCTCTTTTCTTAAGCTCTTCCTTGAGACTTCCAACAGACACTTGCTTTGGAACAATGGATGCAGAACTATGTATACCCTTAGCCTAAAAAATATTTTTGTGCTGATCACAGGAGAGCTGGTCTGCAAATTTCTCTGTGCACAATGGACAGGATATTGGCTTTAGTGCACTTTCAACTGCAGGGATAAGCTCTTGTTTGGTAGCACATTGAAGAACATCAGAGCATTCCTCACAAAACCCACACAATTCTTCATCAGGGCCAACCTTCTTCCTTCCACACTCACAATAGAAAGAATTACTTGTTATGTGAGGAGGCATTCGTGACTTGTAGTGTGATACATACATTGAAGGCATGGGATAGTGTTCGGGCAAGTAAAATGAATGCACATAATTGGCCCGCATAACTTGCCACCATTTACCTAGAGAACCAATGGATCTAGCAACAAATCATGCTTGATGCCAGCATGTTTTGATTCTTTGGCTTGAAGTTACAGGATACCATACCCAATCTTGTAATTCTGGAACAACAGTGAGGCATGGTATGGGATATCATATGCTACTGTCTATACTGTAACATTAGGTTTGAAAAACAGTGCTAATAAATTAAAGTAGGTTGTTAAATTTTCCTTTAATTGTTCTACTTCTATGTCATTGGTGTCAACCTTGTTGAATAAGGTACCAGCATTCCTTAAGTGCTGACCTGCTTTCCCTAGTGCCTGAACAGCAAAGACAAATGGATTTTTAAAACACTTTAATCTATCACAGGCATTCTATTATGAAATATTTTAGTGTTTCTAATAATAATAGCATTTTTATTGTTTATATTCATTACTCATTATTTCTATTATTACTATAATTTTGTAAATTATACACATGAATCTCTTTTGACATATAGGATGCTTGTTGACTTGTACGCCAGGAGAGATGTATGTGTATATAGATAGCAATCTATCTACTTGTCTCTTAAGCTTTTGGGCTGGTGATTCTTCTGGAATTGCTAGTGCATCTATCAATCGGTAGTGATATTTAGCCAGTGCTATAGCTTGCTTCCCAATAATTCGTACACTAAGGTTGTTAGCCCTCTGATCTTTGTTATCATGGTGTTCCTTAATTTCAACAGCAACAAATGATAGACCACAGCCTGCCACTGATTCACTAGAAAAACATTCTTTTGCTTTGGAACTTGCCACCATCGTATTCTGATTAAACATTTCTGCTTGCCTTTTAACTACCTCTACTTGTCGAACTCTAGCTCCTGAACTTTCAACATCTTTTCTGGCTATAGCATTATCATCATCATTGCATTTAGGTGGTGGGGAACTTAAAACTTGATCCTGCTCGATTTGTTTGTCTGCTGCATCAACAGGGGTCCCTAATACCTCTATGAAGGAATGTACTTTGCTTCGCTGGAGTGCTTCCTTATAAACCATGTTAAGCATGTGCTGCCAAGCATTAATTTCACAGTGCATGGGTTCAGGTCGTAATCGGTTGGCGAATTCACCTAGTCAAAACACAAAACTAGCATTATTCATAATTGCTAGTGTTGGGTCATGAGCTATAGGGAACATGCCGTGTTTGTGTACAAGTATATAAGCATTCATATCTACAGTATTCATAAAACCCTAAAAAGGAGGGACTGTTTTGCAGTCTACAATACAAGCACAACACAATGCTTGATAGGTTGTGTTCTTGTTTTCAATAAAAACATGGCTCCAAGCTTTCAGACAGGCTTTTTTTGTAGGTTTAGAATTTAGGTTTAGAGTCGTTCTTCCATGTGAAATCAACATGTTTACAGTTTTCGCACAATGTGCATGCTCATTAGATATGCATCTTATATCCCAATAAAACACACACTCTCCTTCTATAAACAAAACATATAATAACACATCATACCACAATGTAACACAATATAATAACACAAATTGATTTAGTAATATTGCATTACCTATTCTGGGTTCTCCTAGCTGACGAATACCATTGTTTGCCACGAATTCCAGTTTTTTGTCATGGCGACTTGAGCTGGAAAGATGCTGGGGTGGCTGTTTTTCAAAATCTTTGAGACTCTTACTTGCTTTCTCTTTGGATTCTTTAGTAGGAGGCTGCCATGTGCAGGTGGAGTAAGTTACTATAGAACTACCAGTCATGGAAAGATTTTCTTTGTGGACATTAGCAAATGACGATGGATATGTGGCTGCTTGATTTAATTCATTTGCAGCCCAGGACTGCCACGACTGATTAGTGTAGAGTTGATGGCCTTCCTATTGTCGAGATTACTTCGGATTCTAACTCATAAGAACACACACATGTACTTCAAACGTCCGCCATCTTTAATCTCCCTTTTATAACCGCTGACCATACATACCAGTGTATTGTAATACACTACATCCCTCCCTTTCTCGGAATAAACAACAGGCTACAACTGAACCCAAACTAATGTTCAATGACTAAAGGATAAATAGCAAGTTCATACAACAAAGTTATAAATGTTACTTCATGAAGAAGTCTTCAAATTTCGTAGGCATCCGCCTTGTACGAACTRGTCTGGAAGGTGGTTCCGGCTGAACTTGAGAGGGTGTCCCTCCCAAATCTTTCTTGTCCCACGCTTCACTTATCATCTCTTCCGTTAGCCCTTCGTCATCTTCCCCATCTTGTGAATGCTCGCTTGCGGTCTGGTACTTCTTTACATGTGTCACGTTTCGTTGATATTTCACGCCCTCAGGAGATTCAATGACAACGCTATTTCCTTCTTTGCTCACCACTTGATATACGGTTGATTTGCAAACGTTGTGGATAGCTTGTTCTCCTTGTTCTGTTTGTTAGTACTTTATCCCCTGCACTCAGATCTGAGTATCCTGCATGCCTCCTCTCATCTGCGTACAGCTTTGCTTTCATCTTCATCTCAGCATCTCTGTCTTCAAACTCTTCTGCTCTCCTGGCTTCTTGGATGTCTGGCATTTTGGTCCTCATCTTCCAACCAAAGAGTAGTTCTGCTGGGCTCACTCCTGTGGTTGTGTGTGGTGTCGCCCTGTATGCTGTCAGATATGTCCACACCTCCTTCTTCCAGTCATTCCCTTCGGCTTGGGCTATCTTCATCCTCTTGAGTAGTAGTCTATTCTGCCTCTCGATTTCACCGTTTGCCTGTGGCCACAAGGGTGTGACTGCTCAAATGCCTCTGATATGAACTGTGGCCCATTGTTGCTTGATATTGATTGGGGTAGGCCATGCCTGGAGAAGATCTCCTCTTATCTCTCGATGACTTTCTTAGTTGAGATCGACTTCATTATTGCAATCTCGTAATACCTGCTGTAGTAGTCGATCACTGTCAGCACAGAGTGCGCTGATGGCAAGGGTCCTAAGAAAACTAACGCTAGGTCTTGCCATGATTCATCTGGCAAGAGTGTAGACTTTATAGGTTCAGGTTGAGTGGGCTGACCTACTAACTGACACCCATGGCAAGTCCTACAAAATTTCTCAGCGTCCTTCGTAATGCCTGGCCATCATACCTTCGTTCTTAGCCTCTGCTTCATACTAACGACACCAAGATGTCCTTCGTGGGTTAACGTCAAGACACGGGGTCTAAGCTTGCGTGGAATTAAAATTCTCGTACCTCTCAATATAAGCTTTCCAATGACACAAAGCTCCCCACTTGCCGGTATGTACTCTTTGCACTGAGATTTTCCCCACTGACCGGTCTTGATGCATTTTCTCAATTCACGCAGCTCCCCGTCCTCTGCTGAGGCTTCTTCTATTTCTCTTGTGGTCAGTGCTCGAGGGGTAGCGTTGATCGCCACAAATCTGACGAATTGCTCAGCTTCTATTGACTCTGGTGACAGCTTGTCTCCTACCTGTGTCAATCTTGACAGAGAGTCTGTAACATTTTGCTTTCCCGGAATGTACGCAACCTTGAATCTGTATGGCTGTAGCCTCAAAACCCAGCGCTCAATCCTGGCACACGGTTTTGATTTGGATGAGTAAATTGTTTCCAGTGGCTTATGATCTGTGCACAGTTCAAATTCAAGGCCATACAAGTAGATGTTAAACCTCTCACACGCCCACACGATAGCAAGTGCTTCTTTCTCTGTCTAAGAATATCGCTTCACCACTGCAGTCAGACTTCGGCTTGCGTAGCTCACAACTTTGTACTCACCATCATGTTCTTGACTCAAGGCTGCCCCGAGACCGACAGGGCTTGCGTCAGCAATGACTCTGGTCTTTGCATTCATGTCAAAATATGCAAGCGTTTCAGCTTGGCCCATTCTGGTCTTCAGCTCCTCAAAGGCTCTTTTCTGTTTCTTGCCAAACACAAATGGCACACCTTTCTTTGTGAGTTCCCGCAGAGGCTCTGTTATTGTTGCATAATCAGGAATGAATCGTGAGTTGTAATTTACTAGTCCAAGGAAGCTCCTCACTTCTGATGCGTTCTCTGGCTCTCTAGCACTGACTACGGCTTTCACCTTTTCTTCGGTTGGACCAATTCTTCTATTTGACAATATGGACCCCATGAACTCTAGCTGCGACATTTGTAGCCTGCATTTGTCCTTATTTAATATCAAATTTTTCTCTTTCAGCGTCTTCAGAACTTGTTCTAAGGCA